GTGGGTGCCTGTAGGTGATTACATGCCACCCAGGATATAGCATCGAGACTGTGATTGGCCTCTGTATTCTCTGAGACACCAAAGTCAAGGGTATGCTTACTTATGTTGAAGTGGGAGGATGTGGTACTTCCCTCCATGTTTCTGCTGACTCGAAAAGACAACAGTTCAGCGTAACTCTGAATGGGGGAGAGTGCAGGAGTGGATCGCACTAGCTCTGTGGGGCCAGAGGTGGAGATAAAGACAGTTGCTTGTTTGCTAGTGGTTAATTAGCAGGTTTGTCTCAGAGCTCTTCCCGTGCTCTTCCCTATCAGTAACTTTAGGATCGACTGGCGATACCTGAAAAACATATGTCACCTGCTCTGACTCATCCAAGTTAAGAGTGAATCTCAGAAGTCTCAGGTTTCTTCAGGAAGTTGAGTTCAGAAATCTTTTATGAGATCAGGTTAAGGTGAATTTTTTCTACTGTAAACTTTAGTAATTGTCCACAACAAAGCAAATAGGCATATATTTATGATAAGGTTATGGATTTTGTTTTGTGATTGGGCATTTAGGAAGTCAAGATATTTTATAGCCATTTTCTCCACTAAAATTTTGAAAAAAGTTGAAATGTACAGTATTAGAAAATACACTAAAATAGATTAGGATTTCTTGGTCTGGGAGAAAGCAAGATGAAGAAGGAACGTGACTGAGGTTGAACGATTGTACTGGGCTTTGACAGGGCCGACACAGCGTCTCCCACTGGTGGGCTTCAGAACTGTAGGAAGCTTTCTAAACATTGTCCTCTGCTGCAGTAAGAGTCTGCGGGCTGGAGGCATACGCACAGAATGAAGGTTCTGTAAAGGCATAGGTTTTACAGTGCTAAACATTCATTGGGTTCTTTTCTGTGCTAAGTTTGTTACTACGTTATCTCACTTAATCTTCATAACAGCTTAAGTGGGGAGGTCTATTTATCCCCATTACACGGATTAGCAAACTTCAAGCTCATATAGGCTATATTATTTGTCCGAGATCACCCAGGCCAGAAACAGTGGAGCTGGGACTGAGAGTGGCTCCTTCATGGGGCACTGGGCAAGGCCCAGAGTGTCTGGAGACCACTGTTCGTGTTTCAGATTGCTGTCCCACAGAAGGAGCATAGTCAATAATACTGTAGTAACTGTGTATCGTGTCAGTGGGGTGCTAGACTTATCGGAGTGATCACTTCATAAGTTATATAAATGTTTAATCACTATGCTATACCCTAAAATTAAGATACTATTTTATGTCAACTGTAACTGAGTAAAAATTAAAAAAAAATCACTATCCCTTTTAAAATTACTTATACTAAAATCTAGGGATCCTCATGTAGCAGTCCTTGTGTTTTATTTTCTTTAGTAACTCTGTCTTCTTAAGTAGGTCATTATCATAGAGTGTTAGGGTGGCAACCTTGAAGGAGAATGACTGGACTGCAGCTTGCCCTCTGAGAAGATGAAAAGAAAATCACCAAGAGAGATCTTCTCACTCGTTTAGGGATAGTGAGAAGTTATTTTTGCTAATCTTGGATATCTTCAGGAAGGACCTCTAATAAAAGTTAAAACTATCCTTTGATAGACCATCTTAGTATATATTCTGGCAATCAGGAAGTTTATGTAAGAGCTGAAACCTCACCAATATGACTTCTTTTATAGGGGAAGTTAGAAAATGACTAATTACTACTAATGTAAAATTCCATTATTCACTTAAGTCACCCTGGAAAGTTCACTCGGTGGTTGTTAATTGAGTACCTGCTGTGTGCCAGGCATGATGCTGAATTGTACTGAATGTGATCTTAGAAATTGTCAAGGATAACACTAGGCAATCTAGCTATCCCGAATGGTTTAGAGTTAGATCTTTAATTTTTTTAAATAATAATGATGCACTCTATGTTATTTAATGCTTACACAACTCTCTGAGATAGTGTTATCATACCCGTTTTACAGATGAGGAAACTAAAGCTTACAACATTAAGAAACACACCCCACATCACACAGCAGAGCCTTGAAGACATGAGCTCCTCAAGAGAATGTTTTAATATAGTACCTTACAGTTATCTAAATGCTTGTACTTACATTATCTCATCTAATTTTATAAGCAAAAATAATAGTAGTTACTATTATATTCATTTTACAGATAGCAATAATCCCTTTTACTTGTTATATATATAATATTGCCAAGAGTGCCAGATAACTTACCATATAAGGTCTAGTTCATGTAATACTCACAGCTACTCCAATAAGCATCATTATTCCCATTTTGCAGATGAGGCCCCAAAAGTTTCAGTCACTTGGTTAGCACAGTGGGGAACTGTGTGATTCAAGCCTAGGCTTGTGTGCCTGGCCGAGTACATGTAACCACTTTGCTGTATCACTTTACCGTGTTGTGCTGTCTCATTTTCCATGTGGGGAACTAAGGCACAGAGAGCATGCTAACACAGCTGAGGTCGTACAGCTTGTAAATAGCAGAGCTGGACCTCAGCTCAGATCCTCTCATTAGAAAGCTGCTTGTTTGTTCAGCACTAAGGTGCCTTTCTCCACAAGGAGAACTGAAAGAGTGTATCAGTTCCCTAATTCCTTTGTGATACGTTTAGCTTTAGTAATTGTAGTTATTCTTTACATTTCTTTCTGTGTTTCCCATTTGGGGGTAGGGAGCCCCCCATACTACTGGCAACAACATGTTACAGTAGAGGACTGGGCATACAGGCTACTCGACCGCTCCGGAAGTCATCTGGGGAAGTTAGATTAGAACTCAAATCCAAATGTGACTGTGTGCCCAACTCGGTTAGCTCTGTAGTTCTTGAACTTTTTGTCTGTTGAAAATGTTGCTTGAAAGGAGGCCTTGCCTTTATTAGATTGCTTCTGGTGCTGTGAGGAATGCCTTTTTTTTCCATCTGAAGATCATTTACCATTTCTCTGAATAATGAATTACATTTATGGCTAAAGCAAGGAAGTCAGTATCAGATATGTAACAAGGACCACTCACTCAGATTTGAAGTGTTGCCAACCTATACAATCTCAGCCCTGAACATTTTAAAGTACAAAAGTTCATTATTTTAACAATCAAGTATCCTTTAGATTTCTAAAGGAAAAGTTTATGGTAACCATTTACAGTACTATACTTTTATTCAAATTGCAAACTCAGGTAAATGTCTCTTAAAATTGAATTGGATGAAATTTTTCTATATATTTGTTGATAGAGTAAATATCAGATAAATACCCAGATGTGTTTAATTATTTTGACTCAAGAAAAGTATGTCCTATTTAGAAAGTTTTTAAATAAATTGTTTCTGAATTGAACAAATAAACGAGAAATAGCTGAAACTAAATGACTTGGACTGTATAGAAAAACTGAAAGGCTTTAAAAGAGGAATCATCTTAGAAAAACCAATGTCTTGTTATTTTTATTTTTAGAGATAGACCAGAATTGTCTATTCAAATATATTAATAGTTTTTGAAAATTAAGCTTTTCATAGTCAGAAGCTGATAGGCGATGTGGGAATAATTGTAACCCCATTACGAATGAATGAGCTCCAGTGTAAACGTGTTTTAACCATGGGACAATCCCTATGTCAGCAAGAGGTGTTTTTTAGAGAGAAGAATTGATGCTTACTGAGTAGGGCCTCCTATGCTAGTCCTCTCTGCATTGTTTTCTCACGTAATTTTCACGCCCCTGTGATTCAGATATTATTACTCCCTCACCCCCTTTTGTAGATAAGGAAACTGAGGCTCAGAGTCACTGAGTACTTATTCCAAGATCACTCAGCTTGAAAGTAGAAGTCTCAGAACTTGAACCTAATTCAGAACATTCTAAAGTCCATGGATATTCTCATATACACAGCTGTTCTTGTGAATGGCCTGGTATATTAGAATGTTAAAAATTAACACAAATGTTTAAAATTAGCAAAAAAAATGTTAAGAGAAATTGGCTTATGACTCTGTTTGATTAGCTTTCAAGTAAGAACAAAACAGTTTGAAATATACACCTTTTTCAACCTGGAAACATATAGCAAATTTACCTTTTTTTCTTAATGTATACTGATTCTGATACATCTTCTTGGCCCTGAATTGAGTTTGTACTTCCAAGAAACTCCATAGAGATACATCAGAACATATTGTTAAAGCTCAGCAGTTAACCCTAACAAGTTGGCTGCCCACTATTTTTATTACAGTGACTGTAGGTAACACTAGGTCACATTCCAAACACATGACATCTTTTTAAACAGATTCCAAAAGGATTAGAGACATTTCCCTGTTCTCGTGTTTTGGGTCATTTTCTTACTGTCTGGATGGTAATGCAGCTTTTCAGTTCTTAACAGTAGTTGACTTTGAAACTAAGTTTTGTCTTTCCGTAAAGGTTATTTTCTGGAGTAACTTTACCCTGAGAATGATACAACCAGCTCCCCTCCATTCTGTCCTCCTCACTTGCTGCCTTCTCTGTTCTCATCTCTACCTGCAACTTCTTAACCCCGCGCCAGAAGTGCCATCCCATTGACCTGCCTGGAGAGAAAGTGCACTGTGCTAAAATGATGGAATCATGCATGTTAAAACCAAAACGCACATCTGAAAGAGAGTAGCTGGATGTGCAGCAGTAAGAAACAGCAGTCTACCTGTTCTTTAACCAAGTTAATTGTTCAAAAAACTTTTAAACTTAAAAAAAAGTAATGCATGTTCACTGGAGTAAATTAGAAAATACAGAAAATAAATAAAATGGAATTCAGCTTTGTAAAGATAACTGAAGCAGATTGTTTCCTAAGGACCATTAGACTTTCCAAACAGAAATATTTCTGTGAGAGACAGTAGTCCTTGTGTGTGATCCATTTCATTGCCCCCATAGTCTGCAAAGCTCTGTGCTATACAGGGCCTGAGAGGATGGGGCTGTAGGGAATAAATAGACCGTATGTATTCTTTTTTATTTTGGTTCTGCTTTCTTCTTTCTAACTTCGGTTTCACAGCAGCTGGTATACTAAAGATTTTTCTTCTTTCTCCCAGACCCCAGGCAGGCACAGTCTTCCCCACCGTGGTCCTATGACCAGTCTTATCCCTCCTACCTGAGCCAGATGACGTCCCCGTCCATTCACTCCACCACCCCGCTGTCTTCCACACGGGGCACTGGGCTTCCTGCCATCACCGACGTGCCCAGGCGCATTTCAGGTAAAGACCGTACTTTAACTGCAAACCCCGCTCCCGTGCAGGGGTGGGTTGGGGTCGCAGGAAGGGCCAAGTCTATCTTACCTATGCCCACAGTACCTCTCTATTAGATGCATGTGGGCAAGGCTTTGACAACTGGCAGACTGGGTCTTCTGAAATATGAGGTTTATCAAATACGTTAACATTTTAGGTCAGGAGACTGAAAATCCTCCAGAGATGGTATGATTCTCTTAAGATGATATTTAATGCCACCCAGTCTTAGTCCTGATGAACTGGAGCCCCACTGGTGGGCACTTGTCTCATAACGAGGGCCTTCTCCTGAGGGTCTCATGCCAGGCCTTCCTCTGCTTGTGTTCCTTTCTTTTCCTACCATCTGCCTGTAAATGAAATGACAGTTAGGGCGCAGCCCTCCATTTCCAAGGGCTTTTAAATCCCAAGAGTCCAAGCTAACCAGTTTCAAGAGAGAGCACCTGCAAACTTAAGATCCTTATCTAGTTATTTCAAGTGCAGTGAGGTCTGGAAGAGTCTTAAAAGGCAATTTGTGGCTTCTGAGCAGCCAACTGAAGACTGAGGCAGCCTTTCTGTGAGTCGCACAGCACACCGCTGTCGCCCTCAGGGCGGCGGCCCCCGTGCGCACACGTCCACTGTTCCAAAGGCACCACGAACGTCTGTGGCTAATGGTGGAAGCGCATGGGGTAAACAGCCAGGCCACTTCTCCACCATGGAGAATTCGTCACAGAGAGCCAGAATGTGTCCACGAAAACTTCAGACTGATGAGTCGACTTAAAGGCTCTTGGCCAACCGTAGGAGTCCTGTGAATAAAAAATAAATCTCTCAGTACACCCCCAATGTACATACCTCAGCATGCCCCAGCCTCCATAAATAAAGATGTAGGCCCACAGAGGCACACACAGCCGGACCCTGATTTGTCAGACACTCGTCTAGGCGTTCGGGCTCCCTGCACCTGTTTGACTCCTGGCCAGGTTAATGCCTTTCTTTCTTTGTCTTTGTGTTTCTGTCTCTGTTTCTCTCTCTCTTATTTTCTGCAAAGCTCGAAGCCGTTACTCACTCCGCTGAGTTGCATCACTGACAAGCTGAAGCTCCACCAGCAGGCTTGCAGGTTTTGATTAGTTCAGACTCCTTTATTTCTTTCAACTTGGGAGGAGGGAAGGCTTTGTTTCTCAAGCAAATAGCAGGAAAGGGCTCTGTGGTCCTAGTGCCTTCACATTTTCTGCAGCAGATGGACTCCTGTAGGGGTGAGTAGGGAAAGAAGAGGGGTGGAGGGAGAACCGCAAGATTCTTCGGAAAACCTTGTCGCCACTTTTCATTACGACTGCTGTTTCATGAATCACATACCATTTCCTAGGGAATTGTGCAGCGTATAGAGTTTTAGTTATCATTTCCCTGACTGGAATGACTATTTTCTTTAGACAAATATCGATTAAAGACACAGGAAAGGATGAGAAAGACACAGGGGGATAATGAGGGCTGATATGGACTCAAAGACACAGTGTTGGGTGGTGCTGAGTCAGCTCTGGTCATTCCTTTTGTGTTTTATACTAAGTCTGTTTTGTTTTACACATGGCCACCATCACACTTGTCAGATGGCAGATCTGTGCCATCTTGCTTCTGTTACAGGTCCTCTGGGGCTTTCATCTGTCCACCCGTCTGTGGCTGCCATAGCTCTGCTGTTTGTCCTCTGGCAGTACCTAGACTTCTGGGGGTGCTGGTAGCTTTAGAGACACTCACCCACGGCACTTTCTGACTGAGGCCTGTTTGCATGTGAATTCACTGGGAAAGACATTGAAAATAACTCTGAAAAAAATGCTGCACCTAGTGCAGTCATCACTGTTTATCATTTGCATGTGTAATATAGGACAGCTAGATTATTTTGAGTCTATTCACCAGCCACTACTTAAAACATTTCCATAAACAGAGGAGGTGGTAGGAGCAAAAACTGGTTAATTGATCTGAGGCCAAAGGTGGGACGGAGCCTCTGCTTTAAACTAGTTTAAAACTGAGTTTAGTCCAGTTTTTTCCTCCTGCCCCAAACATTTCTGTGAGTTGTTGCTGGCAAAGTTACACGGTGCTGGGGTGGGAGGTTCTGTATAAACATGAAAGTGAGGAGAACAGAAAATCCCTTCGGTCAGCATAGGCAGACAGGAGGAAAGAACTGGATGTGGACTGTCAGGGAACTGGAGGAATGCTGATGTACCTGGCCTTGCTCTCGCGTGTGGGGCTGTGCCCACACCCCAGAGTGCTATCTTCTGGACTTAGGGACTGAGTTATCTGGAATGAGCACTATTTTCACTTCCCTGGCGAGCAGTCCTAGGAAGTCCTTGGAGAGGAGCCTATCTCACAGGTTCCAAGGTATCAAGTTGCATAGTTTCTGTTTCAGTGTTATTCCCCTCAACATCTAGAGCTACCCCTAAGGTCCAGGACCCCGTTTCTCTGTCACACTGACAACTGAAATGCCAGCCTTCATCTCCATCTCTAAGCAGTCTTGCATCACTTCTTTTAGCGCTTCCCAGAACAGTTCTTGTGTTTGCGTGGGGTGTTTGTGTTTCTCACCTCCCTGTATGAAGGATGCACAAAATATTCTCATACCGTCATGGGTGGGAAAGAAAAAAATTCCTCACATACAGCAAGACAGGAGGGTCAGACTCAGGTTTGAATCCTAGCTCATACACATACAGGACAGGTTTGTTCATTCTTTGAAACTTAGTTTTATTGTTTTTAAAATAGGGATATATTTCTCTCTTAGGATTACTGTGAGGATTAAGTGAGATGCTTTACGTAACATGCTTAGGACAGGCCTGGCACACACATCACAGACTACAGCTGATCGTAGGAAGCTAAAACTGTTTTGTAAAAATTGTATGTCTATATGTAATTTGCAGGCAATCCCTGGCTTAAATGTATTAAGTAGGTTAAAATCTAATTTTTTTGTGGAGTATTATTTGTTTTATGAAATGGAGCACCACAGAGCATATGAAAAATAAAACCCTTTGAAATGAGTTTATTCATATGCATCTATAAAGCACTTACTGCTGTACCTAGCACGTACAAGTGCTCAGTACATGTCTGCCATTGTCATCATTATCATGCTGTAGATTTATCACAGATATTTATAGAGCTAAAAACAATGGGGAGCCATTCACACACAGTCAATAAAACCCTGAAAGGAAACAACTATTCAGTTATGATGTTGGAAAATAGAAAACGTTAAGTTACACTTACACATAAGAGAACATAGGAATAAAAGCAATGAGAAAGACCTTTCAGAAGGATGTGCTCCTGAAGAAATTCTGTTTCATCCTGAAAGACCATGCCAAAGAAAGACCACCATTTAATCATTTAAAGACTTTCAGAGGTCCAATTTTACAACTTCCTTTTGTTGGTATCCTTTCTTCTGAGTAATTTTTCAAGTATGGCTACAAATGCTAGAACTTAATGAATTAAAATAATGATGACGATGTTATGGTATATAGTTCCTATAGTTTTCCTAAATCCTTTATGGAAGCAAGGTGTAAATAAAATAATATTCATAATGGTATGTCACCCATAATCTCTACTGCAACAAAAGATGCAAAACCAGATGTCTTGAAGTTCATAGTTTGCAACACAAAATTCAGGAGATAGTTTCTTAACCTTGGACAACCTTAGATATTATAACAAGGGCAATAGCAGCCATTAGAGGTTAATGACTGATCAATAAATTATTGCCATGTGACTGATAGGGCCCACCTCATTAGAAGGAGGTGTGATGGGGAGAAGCAGCCCTGTAGGGATTTGTCCCCCTTCTGCACCATACTCACTGTGGGAACTGTGGCCTTAGCACACAGTAATCTGTATTTAAGGAACACCCCCGATCCTGAGTGATCTTACACGTTATCTCATTTTATCTTATATGCTCCTAAAAGAATCTTCACTGTACAGAGGTAGCCAAGTTGCAGAGCAAGGCGTGGCAAGGTGAGGACCAGTAAACTCGACAGCCACGGAGTGTCTTTATCGTCGTAATGTTATCACCCATAGTGTTTTTGATGTTCAAAGCACTCGTGAGGCTTGCCATAAAGATTGTAATTACTTTTCTGGAGCTCATTACAGAATACTATGTAAATAAATAATTACTGACTTTCAAAATGTATTTTATGTAATTATCCGACTATGAAAAGAAGTACAACTGTTTATTGAGCCTGATTATTTGACTTATGGGTCAGATTATGAGCCATTGTTAGCCTCCCCAAGGAGAGCATACATAGGTTGTGCGTAACTCCTCCCCTGTCCCCCCATCTGAGTGAAGTGGCTCAGGCTGAGCTATGTCTGTATCACTCTGGCATCCACGAGGTAGAAGGGATTTACACAGGTATTTTTTTCTGTGGTCTTGGTCACTGTGCCCATGGACCCCTCTGATGCTTTCTGGGGGTCTCTGGGAGACTTGGGATACAGGAGTTAGGAATGTGAGGGAAGGGTCCTACGTGTTCTCTGGCTCAGCTACTCTTGGGGAGGCCAATACATGTATGTATGATTTTCCTCTGTGTATGTAGGTCTTTTTTACATGAGACAGTTCAGAACTATAATCTTCTTGAAGAATGCTCTTTTTCCATCTAAGCAAATAGTCTTGAATTTCTTTCAGAATATTTGAATATCAAAAAAATTCCACTTAGTCAGCTACACAGGACATTAGAGATGTCTCCGTTTTTATGACTCTTAGTCACTAAACTATAATATTTTCAAAGGTCAGAATAAGCATTAGTGTAATAAATAAAATTACTAAAATTATTTTATTACCACCACAACATCTGGAAATTGCCAATGGAAGAAGCTTATTTGATTATTAAAGGTATATATGGGGGATTGTTTCATGTAATTTAAAAATTGGTGGTGTTTATAAAGTTCATTGAAACGTCCCTTGTAACAGAGTTTCTATCAAGTCCCCTGAACCAAGGTTTGAAACCAGCAGCTGCAGTAACATGCTGCACCTACATGGCCAGTTTTTTAGC